AGGCCACCGGAAGGTAGCTGGCGCCGAGGCGCGAGCGCGATTCCCTGGTAAATGGCAGAGGGTGATCAAGGGAGAGCCATGCTGGAGCAAATCGTGGCGAGGCCTCGGCTAGAGCGCGGCGGGCAGGGAGGAGGCAGGATGGGCGAGGAGGAAGAGAGGAGGAAAGAGCTCCCGGATGCTGCGCGAGAAGAATAACGAAGGAGAGAGACGGGACCAGGCTCAAACGCTGCCTGTTTGAGGGCGTCACTGACGGGGGTGCATCCTAGAAGCGGCATCGACAATGCGCAAGCATCCCTGGCATGGCGGAGGAAACGGAGCAAAGCAGGAAGGAGGAGGAGGAGGAAGAGGAGGAGAGGAGCAGCAGGAGCAGCTGGAGGAAGAGGAGGAGGAGGAAAAGGAGGAAAGGATGGGGAGGACGCGCATTAGAAGGAGGAAGAGGAGGAGGAGGAGTAGGAGGGGATGGAGAAGGAGGAATGCGAGGACGAGGAAGAGGAGGAAGAGGAGGAGAGGAGCAGGAGCAGGAGGAGCAGGAGGGAGAGGAGGAGGAAAAGGAGGACCGCCACAACGACGACCACGGTAGCGGCGGCGACATCCACGACAATGATACAATGATCTTGGCGACGGCGGAGACATGGACGAAAATATGATTATCCTCCTCTCTTCTTCTTGCCCCCATCCCATCCCCTCTCCCCTCATCAGAAGTTGATTGACGACGACGACGACGACAACCACCGCGGCGGCGGCGATGACGATGACGACGGCGACTGCCACGAGGACGACGCTGACGATGATGAACGACGACTGCGGTGACGATCGCGACCGACGTCGGCGGAGACGGTGGTGACGACCGCGGCGACGGCGACGGCGGTGACGGTGACGTCGCCTCGAGCCCCCGAGGCCTCCCGAGGTCTGAAGGAGGCACAGAAAATCCGAAACCCTCGAAACTCGCTCCTCGGCCCTCAATCTTCAAAACTGTCGAAGATGCCAACGCCGACAGCGACAAAGAAGGCGGTAACGGATACTTACGATGACGACGACGACGACGGCGGCGGCGACATGCGGCGACCGACGTCCTCCGGAGGCCCCCAAAATCGCAAACCGAAACATTTCGAAACGTTGGCCGCCCGCGGCCGCCGCCACCACTGCCGTGACGGCGGTGCCGCCGCCGCCGCCTAGGGCCGCTACCGCCGCAGCAAGCCGAACGCCGCCGCTGCCGTCGGCCGCCACCATCCGCCGCCAGCTGCCAATGGCATCCTTGAGATCCGACGGAATTTGAAAACATTGAATCACAAAAAGCAAAAGCATGACGTGGGCTCCGGACCACACATCCTTCTGCTAGACTTATCGGGCCCTATCAACCTGTCAGGGCCCCAGGGCCGAAACCGGGCGCACACGCCCATTGTGAGAAAACTGCAACGTCAAGATCTCAACCAGCGACTCCGAAAGGTGTGGTTTGCAAAGGGTGTGGACTGCAAGGCGCACCCTGGGGGGGCGGGCGAGGAGCTCGACAGAGTTTCCCGCCGCGCCCCGAGGCCCGACGAGGGCAGCGTGGTGCCCCCCAAGCCCCAACGGCGCAGATCGCAAACCACACCCCAGCGTGACTTGTCGGCGCGCACAATGGGGTAGGGCGAGGGGGGAAGGTTTCTTAGAAGAAGACAGCCTCTTAGAGGGCGCCAGCCGCCCTTGCAAGAAGCTAGGGGCGCGCCGCTTCTTAGAAGCACCGCAGAAGCTTCTTCGAAACACGAAACTGCTTCTTATAAGCAGCAAGAGGTTCCCAGAAGCAAGCCACCTGCTTCTTAGAAACACGTCAGGAAGAGCTTCTGAGACACAGCCACATCTTTCTCAGAAGAAGCGCCCGCGCCTTCCAAGCAGGGGGCTTCTCAGAAGCCTGCCCCCCCCTCTGCGCGTGGCCGACGGTCGTCGCCGACCCCGGCGGCAGCAGCGGCCGCGCCCCGCCGCGGCCACGGCGCGCACCGGCCGCGGCAGGACGGCGCCCTCGGCGGCCGGCGACATGAACTCCTCGGCGGGTGCCGTGGCGGGGCGGCCGACGGCTCCGGGCGCTCGGCAGCACAAGCAGCGCCATCCCACGGCAGCCGCCGGCGCTCTCGGCGCTCGGCGGCGCTCGGCGGAGCGGGCATCGGCGTCGGTGACCCTTCCTCCTCCTCCTCCTCCTCCTCCTCCTCCTCCTCCTCCTCCTCCTCCTCCTCCTCCTCCTCCTCCCCACCGCGTCGTTCCTCCTCGTCCTCCTCCTCCACCTCCCCCTCATCCTCTTCCTGATCCTCCTCCTTTTCCTCCTCGCCCCTCCTCGCCCCTCCTCCTCCTCCTCCTCCTCCTTCTCATCCTCGTCCTCCCTCTTCCTCCTACTCCTCTTCGTTTCCTCCTCCTTCGCGGACCCACGGGGCAAAGGCAAGAATTGAGAGACATACAAAAGAACTGATGCCACACGGCTCTCTTAGTTGTACGCAGTGACAGAAAACGGGGCGCCCTGACCCGCAAGTTTCGAGCCTCGGTCCAGCCACTTGGCGACAAGGGATCTCCGCGAATGGAGCGCGGCAGCAGGCCCAATCCATAGCCCCATATACTTTAGCGTATCAACTACTTCAAAGGTCGCTCAAGAGGGCAGGCATGCACGCAACCATCTCAGATATCTACGGGCGAACCGATCGCTGAAGGCCTCGGCGAGCGGGGCAATCTTGCACTTCGAGGTCTTCAGTATCAGTGCCGCGACGTCCTCAACCGTCTCGAACACATTGCGAAGCAGAGGTAGGAAAGCGAATTTGCGAAGTGCAGCGCCGACAGCATCAGCACAACATCTGGCCAGCCCAGCATTATGTGTGGTTCGTGCTTCGTCCACCGTAGAAAGAAACAGTCTGTCGCCATCGCGAAAAACATGTGCCAGAAACTGGACATTCTTGAATAATACCAGACCCTTGATGGAATAGAAACACCTTGGAACTCATGAGCGCGTCGTAGCACAGAACGGATGAGTGGATAGCTTGCACAAACACTTGGAGAGGATCTGGCACAAGCAAGGCGCCCAGCACTTGGTGAAGCCATGTGTGGCCCGGGCTGGGAAAGGCCTGACCAAAGTCAAAGGATACAAGAGCTGGAAAATCAATTAGAGCCGATGGCGACATCGAGAAAACTATGGCATACCCGTCGAGCTCAACGATGTAGTTTCCGAAACTTCGGGGGCGAATGAATCCACGTTGTATTGTAGCAGCAAGCGCCAGAATAATTCTGTTGATCTTGAGGACAACGACGGCCGTGATGATTTTGTTGTCCGTGTTCTTGAACACCACTGGCCGCAAGCCAGCAGCCTCTCGAACGCATTTGTTTTGAAAGTCCTCTTGTTCTTCACCCTTCGGAATGAAAACCATTAAGAGAGCGTTGGAATCACGGCCCATGGGGTTCCCACTCAGGATCCAAGAAAGAGCCTCGAAGAGCACTGAGCACGAGTACGGGGCATACTTGTAGGCGCTATAGGGTAAAGAGTCAGGACCAGGGGCAGAATCTGAAAGTCTGGCTATATACTGCTCCATATCATGATAGAAGAGAGGAGGAACATCACGCAGATCAAATTGCACCACTCTGCAAAATAATCACGACCAGCAGAGCTGTTGACTTCTTTTGGAGAAAATACCTGGCCCCAACGTGTGGAGATCTCATTTTGCACGCGGTCAGCAACCGGGTGCCCGACCGAACCCAATCAAATGCAGGCGTCGGTCAAAAGGCGTCCAGAGACGTACTCTGCGAACAAGCCTCCGCAGACGCTGTCTGAGCTTGGAACGGGTGGACTCCGACTTCGCTGCATCCTGAAAATGAAGAGTGTCCAGCATATCTGAGAACTTCCGAGGGTCTTTCAGGAAAACGCAGGCCATTTCGGGGTCGATGTCGAGGTATTCCTGGGCCAACTCGTTCTGCAGTAAAATCTGGGCCAACTTCCGATCGTTTCTCCAGACAGCACGGCTAATGGACCTGAAGAGTAAGAGCTTCGAGATGGCATCATTGGGAGCCTCCTGGAACAGGGCGTTACGAGTCTGTCGAGCACCTTCACGCAAAACTTCTTGATAGAACGCGAACTTCATGGGGGGATTCAACTCCGAGAGGTCACACTCGTCCCAGGTCCGCTGGACAAACTCCTTAAACTTCGGAAGCTGAACAAAAGGTGCTTGGAGATAGGACGCTCGTCCATATTGGGAGGATCTCGATGCCGAAGGTGTACCAGGAGAGGCGCGTGATCGGATATCCCCTTCTGTTCCAGAGTTTCAGGCATACCAGGAACTCGAACTTCGGTCTGAAGGCACGTCAGGAAATGTCCAGGGAGGCTGGTGAGTATCCGACCAATGTTAGAGGTATGCTGCTCCACCCCGTTATAGTGAGTAGGCTCTACATTCTCGATTTCGACCAACATCGAAAACCACCTCCTCCTCCTCCTCTTCTCCTCATCGTCGCACCCCTCTCGTTCCCGTTCCCCGTCTCCTCCTCCTCCTCCTCCTCCTCCTCCTCCTCTTCTCCTCTTTTCCTTTTCTCCTCCTCCTTTTCTCCTCATCGTCGTCCCCTTCTCGTTCCCGTGCCCCGTGTCCGTCTCCTCCTCCTCCTCTTCCTCCTCCTCTTCTTCTCATCGTTGCCCCCATCTCGTTCACGCTCCCCGCCTCCTCCTCCTCCGACTCCTCCTCGACTGAAGGGGGCGAGGGCAGAAACGGGGCAGCGAGGGGGTGACGGCGGCGGTGCGGCCGCCCCGAATATCCCCTGCCTCGCCGCACGGTGTGGCCATCACCGCAGCCTGGGGGTGGGGGGCCCGGCTCGCGCCCTCTTCGCGTGGGGGCAACGGGCCCTGAGGGAAACGGGTCCTGGACCCCGGGGCCTTCCCCAAGGACCAGCTCCTCATCCTGAGTCGTTTCCCGACAAGCCCAAAACCCGTGGGGGGGGGGGGGCCCGAGAGCCCGACGACGGTGAAAAGCCTGAGGACTCCTTTCCCCTCGGGACCCGCTTCCCCC